AAACATGGGGGAAGGAGGGGATTGACACGAGCCAGGAGCATTTTGCAGCCCTGCTCTTCTGTGCGGGTCTGGAACGGGGCAAGCTGGCTGCCCGAAGGGTGCTGGGCCTCGTGAAGCAGCAGATGAATCTGTGCCAGACCTGCTCGTTCAGTGGAGACGCGTGACTGCTGCTGAGCAGCCCAGGAGCGAGGAGACGGGTTCGTGCCTGGCGCCTGGCAGCCCAGCGGGCCACGGGGCTCGGCGCGGGGCGGCCGAGACCTCCTCAGGGCACTCTGGCGTTGGGAGACAGGCCCTGGATTTCATCCCTCAGACAGAACTGCAGGAAAAACTCGAGGACAGGCAGCTCTTATGAGGGATTTAGATAAACTGCTTTTGGGAGAGCTCTGGAGAAATTATGCAGATCTCTGGAAGTAGATGAGCTTTTCCTGCTGCGTATTTTCCATTTGCTGAAGAGGGGAGGGAAGCAGTCCCTGAGCAGAGATTACGGAGGTCCCAGGGTCAGATCTCCCCACGGCCACCTTTGCCCCTGCGGAAATGCTGGCTTCGCCGGCTTGCCAGCCTCGTGGGAGGATAATGCCTCTTCCTACGCCGGCTGGTTTCCGTCAGGTTGGTGAGCTGCATTGGCTCGTGGAAGGGTTGACTGCCTGCCAAAGCTGCTGGAAGGGAATATCCCACCCACAGCAGCAGGCTGCGAGATTGGTTCAAGCTGTAATGCGCAATTTCAGCCTTCAAGTGAAGCACAGGATCTCCTGACGGGTGTTCGGTTGGTATAAAGCAGGGTTTGAGGGAAGGATCTGGCCCATTGCACAGCCTGGGATCCCATCTGGTTTCCTTCTGGGGATTTGCGTCCCACTATTCGCATCACACCTGTGCAATGTCTGGTTGAAGTCTTCAGCTGAAATTGAACTTGTGAGATCTTTTTTTAAATTGCTGAATAATTTAAGGAATGCAAGCGTTACTGGAATGAAATGTGCTACTTGGTATTAATTTGTTTCTTTGAATATCCCTGTGCAACTCAATGGAGCTGCGATGTGACGGGGCTCTGGTATCCTCCTGCTTCCCCCGTCTGGTCTAGGTGCTGCAGCTGGGACGTTTACAGGGATGTTGCATCCCAACTTCCGTTTCATATCTAACACGTTTGGAAAGGAATGTGCTTTTAAACAGTAGGTGGGCTGTCTGACCCTGCTGATCCTGGATCTTGCTTTTTGTCTTTAAACAAATTGTTAGGAGAGCCTGTGTGTCAGGAGAGTGTTTTTCTTTCAGGCTGCTCGCATGGGTGTGTGTTGTTTCCATAAAGCTGCTGATAAGGCAGAGGAGATCTCGGCACAGCTCATCGGAGCGCTGTTATTTTAGGAAATGCCTTCCTGGGCACCCTTCCTCTGTGAAAGCCCTGAGTGAGCGGTTTCACGGCGGCCTCAGCGGAGCGGTGGCGAGGCAGCGGCCCGGGTGCGTCCTGCGGGATGTCATCCGTGGCAAGTCCTGGCGCTTTCCCCAAGCTGCTGCTGGGTGAGGCGGTGTCCGTCCCTCTTGCGGGGCTCGGTCGGAGCGGGGGCGCAGGTGGTGCTGTGCGGGCTGCGCGGCGATGCCGGTGCCTCTCTGCTAGGAGCCGTGCCGGAGCAGCATCCTTCGGGGAAGGACTGCCCGGGAGCGCGGCAGGGCGGGCGGCCCGCGGCCGGCCGAC